AAGTATATAAACTCAATCTCCATGATGAATTTTATTATCACTACTTAGATCATAAATAAGGTACAGGTCAATATCATCTATTATTTAAGAGCAATTGAAAGCATAAAAACATTTTAGGAAAATAATTTTCAAAATATCAAATTATAATATCATCAATTAAACTATATAATAAATTTAAGACTTGCTGAATAAATATAACATACATGGGATTATTAGCTAATGCTGAACATAATACATACATTTTGAATATGAACTTAAATCTGGAATAGAAAATAGTATTGTACACACATTTTTGCACAAAATCGCCTGACAACAGCATAAGGATTCACATTTTATTAAAATACTAAAAAATTAGGGCCAGGAAATGGCTGACTGTGGTTCGAATTCTATACCTGGTGGCTTCAAACTCATGCTGGGTGTGTGTGCATGTGTACCCAAGATCCTGGGAGGAGAATGGAGAAGGGATTGCAGCATGGCCATTTCACCTGGTGGGGAGGGGGATGATTTCTCGCCTTCTTTCTCACTGTCTCTGTCTCTCTGCTGAGCACACATGCTCTAAGGCAAAAACCTCTCAATAAATAAATAAAATATAAAAGAATCTAATTATTATTTCAAATACTAATATGTATGTATAGATCTTGACTCTTCTGAGAGAAAATTATAGTTACTGTGTTGGTTCAGATCTTTATATAATGGCAAAAGCTGATTTTATAAGGGAGCTGAACTGCAAGTTTCTAGCTCATTCATTTATGGTAATAAAACATGTGTGGTAATCTATTTGGTATTTTTTAACACTAACATAAATATTACAAATATAAAATATACAATGTGATTTTCCTCATTCATTCTCATTTCTAGTTTCGTTAACTGAAAGCTACAGAGAGTAAAGAATCATTATTGATGACTCTATCCTGAGATTCTCGTGAGATTGGCATCTTATAGATACTTAATACTTACTGCAGATTTAACAAGGAAAGATTTTAAACAGAAATGTAAAATTTTTTCGTTTAAAATCTTTAAGTTGCAACTCAATCTTGGTTGATGTTGACAATGTTAAAGAAAAGGAAAATTAGGAGGAGGAAACAGAAAAGAAGAAAAAGGAGGAGAAGGGAGATGAGGGAGATGAAGGGATGGAATCCGAACCCTACTATGAAATCATCACCATTATTTCTGTTTTATAGATAATGAAATAGAGGCTTATGGAAGTTTTCCCAAGTCACAGAAGTAGTAAACTGAAAATCCAGGACTAAAATTAATATCTGTTTCTTAAGATTAAACTCTTGGTCATTCTTATATCTTGAGTAGAGAAGTTGCCAGTTGTTCAAAATGCCCATTAATTTATTGGGGGAAGAGTCAGATGAGTTTATAGTTCATTTCTAATTATTTGTAATTTTTTAGTTAAAAAAAAGTATACATTTTCTAAGCACATACTCTCTGATTAGGGAGAAAAGCCTATAGACACATTCTTTTTTTAATTTGAATTTATTTATTTACATTCATTCACTGTACATCATTATAGCATATAAAATGGGATTTCCCATTCAGAATATACTGTATATTGTCTCAATCAAGCACATCAGCATACGTGTTATTGTCAACAAATAATTTTCTATTTCTTGTTTCCTGTATATTTTGCTTTTTTTCCCATCCTTGATTCCCTATTTCTCCCTCTCTCACATCTCCCACCCTCCTCCCACACTGTCTCTGGAATCTATGGTTGATTTCTATGCCTTTTTCCTCCCACGTTTTATTGATTCACTAAGGATGTTGATTAATTTAAATATTTTGAATACCAATCACAGCTGATATATACATATCCGTGAACACAAGTCTGACTTTAAACATAAGCCTCAGTGAGTAGAATGAATGCATTATAAAGTAGCACCTAGCTGGGGCTATATATCTTACTGCAGTCATCAAATAGGTATTTTTAATGCACTTTTTTTTTTTTTTAGTTTCAAGAAAAACAATTTTAGGTGTTTTTCCTTTGCTGAAACTCTTTTTAAAAACTTAATAAATTTACATTCATTCCCTAAACATCGTCACAGCATACAAAATGTGGTTTCCCATCCAGAATATACTGCATAGTGGCTTAATCTTCATGTTATCATAAAAAATTTTCCATTTCTAGTTTCATGTAAACATATATATATATATAGTTTTTTTAACCCCTATTTCTGACCTCCTGTCCTTTCCCACCCTCTTCTCACACTATCTCTGGTGTCTATAGTTGTCTTCCATTCCTTTTCCCCCTACATTGTATTGATCACACAATTTCTTAAATAATCTAACTACTTTCAATAGCAAGTTCAGCTGGTAATTTCAAGAAAAGCAGTTTTAACTTAAATCAAAGAAATACTAAGGAACTTTGCTTAAAACTTAAAGCCAGGAAAGAAGTTAGGATTCTGTTCAAATGGTAGGTACATGAACCTATCAACATCTCTAGACAAGACACAAATCCTTAAAATCAGACAACAAAGCCTTGAAGAAATTCAGCAATGTTTTAGTCAAGTCATAAAATTCTATTTCACCAGGGACCAGCAGTTAGTGTAATGGCTATGTCGCTGGACTCCCATGTAGTCGATTGCGGTTCTCATCCCAGACCCAGTGGCTTAAAACTCACCCTGGGTGCGTGTGCGTGCGTGCCCAATATCCTGAAAGGAGAATGGAGGAGAAGAGATTGTGGCTTGGCCATCCTCCCTGGGGGGTGATTTCTCTCTGTCTCTCTCTGTCTGTCTGGTGAGCGCTTGTGCCCAATAGCAAAAACCTCTCAAAAAAAAAAAATTCTATTTCACCAATTCAGTCTCATGTACTTTATCTTCTGTTGTGGTTCGATCTTCCTGATTAAATTCTGGGGTATAATATTCAACTCCAGCCTTGTCTCTATGATTAAGTTGTCCATTTTCTTAGTTTTTGAATTCTTATTTCTGTGTGTCTATATTTAGTTTTCCTGATATAGCACTCCCTTGAGAACTTCCTGGAGATCTGGTCCGGTGCTGGTAAATTCTTTCAGGTTTTGTTTATCTGAGAATATTCTTGTCTTTTCCTCCCACATGAAGGATAATGTTGTCGGGTACAGTATTCTTGGTTGAAATTGCTTTTCCCTTAACACTTTGAATATATTTTCCCATTCTTTCCTCACTCACATTGTTTCTGATGAGAGGTCTGCTGTTATCCTGATGGGATATCCTTTGTAGGTAATTTGATGTTTTTCTCTTGTCAATATTAGTATCTTGTTTTTGTCTGTGGTTTTGCTCAATTTGGCTATAATTTGTCTTGGAGAAGATCTTGGGTTGATTCTTATTGGGGTCCTTTGTATTTCTTGTGACTGGACCTTTGAGTGCCTCTCTAGGTTTGGAAAGTTTTCTTGCAGGATTTCATGGAATAAATTACCAATGCCTTTATGAGACTCTTCACCTTCTGGGGTACCAATTGTCTGGATGTTTGGACGTTTGATGGTATCTAGTATTTCTTGTATATTATTCTCATTTTGGGGGGGCATTTTCTCAGTCTTCATGGTGAATTTTTCTAGTCCAGCAATTTTCTCTTCTATGTCTGAGATTCTATTTTCGGTATGATCTAATCTGCTTTTAATACTTTCAAGGGAGATTGTGAATTCCTGTATTATAGTCTTGATCTCTAACAGGTCCTTTTGATTCTTTTTTAAAGTGTGAAACTTCTCTTTTAGATCTTGCAAGAATTTCCTCGCCTCCTGGAACTTGTCAGCGACTTTCTCCTTACTCTTATTCAGTTCATTGTCTCTCTTCTCTTCCATCTTCATTAGCTTTGCCATTATGAATATTCTAAATTCTTTATCAGACATTTCCATAATTTCCATTGAACTGTCTATGGATGAAGAGGAGTTAGTTATTCTTTTCCCTGGGAGGAGAGGTACAGAATGCACTTTAAAAGGCTTCTTGTTGGCAGGAATAAAATTGGCAGCTAATTTCATCCCCTAAATATTTTTAGTAATCTTCCATGATGTCATAAAAATACAGCCATGGGCTAAATTACAAGATTCAGAACTATTACTTTTTTTAAAATTACCATTCAGATTTTCATAAAGGTACCAAGATAAATTGCTAAGCATTAATAAAACTACTACAAATTGACCTTATCGAGTAGTTATAGACAGAATTTCACTTTTACCTTTTTTACTAATAGTATTTTAGAGTTTAAGAACCTTAGGAATTTAAATCAACTTAGTTTTACTTAATAATTTATTTGTGTATTCAATCTAAAATAATGTTTTTGAAATAGGAAGAGGACAACAAAAGTTCCTCATAAACAAAGCATTCAGAATAAGAATAATGTAAAATGCCCTACCTTATTCTAAACTCACTATTTTAATAATGCCTTTGTCAAGATAGCAGAAACACAGCTTTATCTATTAAATAATGAATATTTTTTTTATTGTTAACATAATCATTCTTTCATAAGAGATCTGAGAAATGTAGAACTATTTTGGGATAGAAATTTATTTTGAAATGAAAATTAATTTTACATCTATGTAATTTATGTCTGTATATTCCGTTTACATAAAATAAAAGTTAACCAAGCATTTGTAAATTGAGTGGCCAATAGCTTTGCTCTTAAATCATGAAAATGTTTATTTCTATGCTACTTTTAAATTCCTGGGATATTTTTTACTTTGCTATCAAATAATCCAGGTCTCTGAAACAGTTCTTTTTCCTTGAACACATTGGTCTGTCACTTCTCACTTCTTAATCATTAGTTAGTTATCATAAGTCTCATATACTTCATAACTAGTGACATGAGATGCACATATAGGCTATTTATTGTTCTGATAAAAGCTACTGATTAGGAGTAAAACAGTCTTTATGTTTTAATCATTAAAAGCAGTAGGATCTTGCAGGTGTTGTGCAGCACAACCTACTCATGAAGAATTAATCTCATTCTTTTTCGGATTCCACCATTTACCATAAAAGTGCTTTATAGCATCTATATAATTTTTTCTTCTTTTTGTCCCTTCTTTGTAGTTGTTTGAAATTACAGTGCCTCTCTCTCAAGGCCCCAAACCTGTAACAATCAGTTTTGCCAATCACACTTCCTGCCGATGCATGTCTAAACTGGATGTTCACAGACAAGTTCATTCAATTATTAGACGTTCCCTGCCAGCAACACTACCACAGTGAGTATGAATTAAATGTATTTTTTACTGCATCCTCTACTAATACAAAATTATTTTAAAGTAACTGAGTTTATTAAAAGTTTTGTGAAATTTGCTATAATGTCCTTCTCATCAAAACAAAGATAAATTTTTTAATTGTGTACCATGAAAATAAACTGAAACAGGGGCCCCTTTTTGTAGGTAAAGTAGTTCACAATATAAAAGAAGTACTTCTATGGAATAACATATCTTAGCTATGTTTATACTATTAGTAAGGTAGCCTAATTGATTTAACATTCATGAAATCAGGTGTGCTAACTCATATATAATATTAAAACTGAAGACATTTAAGCCTTAAGAAAATTTTAGTACAAAACAAAAAGTAAATATAAATAAGTAATTTTGTATCTATTAGGATTCAATTGCCTTCAGTCTTAATTTTATTTATTAATTTCAGCACAGATTAAATATATTGAAATATTACTTAAAAGAGTTTTCTGGAAATTATTCTAAATTATCTTTCAAGCTATTATTTGTGATTCAAGTTTTCCTCCTAATTTTTAGTTTGGCAAATTACAGTATATGCTTCAGTTGATCATTAGGAGGACCTATCTAATTTCAACATTTGTAACAAAACTATAAAGAAATTTCTGGACAAACATATATATCATAAAAAATTTAAAGAAAACCTTGTATTTTAGGGGACTTTACCATAAATATAATATGTGAAAAGTAGCCTTCTCTACTGAATTTCTTTTTCCTGATCTATTTAGTCTGGTAGATAGAAGACCTTGCTTGTCCAGGGAGATTTTAGGAAAACTCAAAGATAACCTAATTTGAGTCACAGAGATCTACCCTCTTTGACACAAGAAAGGAATGATCTTATAGACATCTGTGAATAAATTCATACCAATACAATCAGGGTCAACTGCCACCTGTACTAAAGAAGATGACATGTATACAATTTCATTCACACCTTCCTGAGAATCCAGTTTGCCTTTCTGTACCCTGTATCCATTGTCAACTCATCCTCTCCAAGATCTCCATGCATTATCTCCATGCTCATGGCTTCCAAAATTACATTTGAAGATCTATGTATTCTTAACTTCTAATCCATCTAAACCTATCTTATACTGCTTATTTTGTAAGTATATTAGATATGAACTAAACCAAGTACCTATTAAATACCTTTATTTATTATTCTATTATTTATAGTAGTGTTTTCTCATATCTTATAAGGCCTTGAAATCATACTTATCATCAATGACTTTTTATAGTCCATTCAACCATGACTGATTATTTTGGGGAAAGAGGGAAATATCTGTCCCCACTGAAGCTTATATTTCATTTTCCTTTCATCCACTTCATTCTGCACATAGGTCTAATTTAATGCAGTGTGACCAATACTAGGTTTTTCTAGTACCAGATTTTTCTCACACCCTAGTATAATATCACTAATAAGCTGTAAAAGCCATCATTACATTTATCTGATCAGTAACAACCACTTTCAGTTGCTCAAAGAACTGAGCACAAATTTCTCACCATCCTATTTTGATATCAGCCTTTCTTTCTCTTTTTGTTTCCCATTATTCATCAAGTCTATATTTCACAAAGTCTGATGCCCTGAACACCAAACTCATTTCCTGTTCTGTATCTTGTTTCTATTATGGCTCTGACTTGAAATAAGTGCCCTTTCCTTTCTGCCTTTCCAAAGCCCTCTCCATTTCTCAGAGTTCAGGTAAAGGTCTTCACCCTGCATTTGTCTCATTCAAATACCACAGTCACCTTTGCTTCTTGAATACCCATAGCGATTGCTGGATTTACTTCATCCTTGCATGGCTTTATTGGGGTCTGAAAATGTTGCCTGTGAAACTGGATTGTGAGTTTCAGGTAGACTTACATCCTTCGTAATATAATAACACTAAAAAATAATTGAGCTGTTGCTGTGCTCTCAAGCCCTCCATACCTGGTTTCATTTAACCCTCACAGAAATCACCAATGAGGTTGGTAGAAGTATTAGGCTTATTTCATAGATGAAATAGGCAGTCACACTCCAAAGCTGTGGGCTAAAGTATATTTCGCTGAACAAAAAAAAAAAAAAAAAAAAAAAAAAAAAAAATGCTTGTTCAATGAATAACTTATTTAATTGTATATAGTTCATAGCATTTGGCATGTTTTACCTATATTTTCATCATTACTTATTCACATAACTACTATGCTATACACTGTTGAAAGTCAAGAAGAGAAAACATTTTTTTTAGCAAAAAGAGCTTAGACCGTAGCATAAGCCAACTCTGAATCTCAATTCATGTTGGCTACTAATTAGCTTTTACATCAAGTAGGGAATTCATGACTATGAACTTCAGTTAAACTGTAAAGATGTAAAGAGGATTGGATGAGTGACTGGATGCTTATGTAGTGCTCAACACACACTGCTTTGTATTGAAGAGGTAGTCATTAAAGGGCAAATTTGTTATTATCCTTAAAATTCCTGTCTGATTCATCTGCTTGTCCTGTGTTTTTGAATGTGTGTGTGTCTGTGTGTGTTTATCACTATAATGAGAAATACGTTTTACATTCCAAATTAATGTAAGTCGTGTAATATACCAGGAGTCTTCAAAAAAGTTCAAGAAAAATGCAAGTTATTAAAAAGGTATGCATGGGTTTAAAATTTTTTTCAGTAAAATAAACATATACTTTAATTCCACTTTTCCATGAACATTTTTAAATCCCCTCATATATATATATATATATATATATATATATAATTTTTTAAATTTATACATTCAATCACTATACATCACTGCAACTTATAAAGTGAATTTATCCAACATTAAAACACTTCTCACCAGTCCAATTGAACATACTATACACATTATCATCAACAGATAATCATCCATTTCTGCATCCCATAAATGTCTCACCTCCCTCTTTTAATCCCCTCATATATATAGTTTAAACGTAGATGATGATATAATTTTACTTGGCCCCACTGGAGCTAAGATTTGAACCTAATCAACCATATGGGATCTGGCTTACCCTAACCACTATCCTATGAGGCTGGCCTGAAATTTTTTTTGGGCGGGGAAGGGAGAGGTTTTCGCTATAGGGTGTGTGCACTCACCAGACAGAGACAGACAGAGAGACAGAAAGCGAGGAATCACCCTCCCAGGGGGATGGCCACGCCACAATCCCTTCTCCTCCATTCTCCTCTTGGGATCCTGGGCATGCACGCACACACGCCTGGCGTGAGTTTTAAGCTACCGGGTCCGGGACGCAAACTGCGGTCGACTATGTGGGAGTCCAGCGACATAGCCATTCCGCCAACTGCTGGTCCCGAAAAATTAAAGTCTATTAACCGTTAACATAAGTTTATAACTATATTTAATGAGGAATTGCTGAGGTATTATTTACTTATATAAATGTTAATATAGCAAGTTACATACGCAAAGTAGCAATTAACATGAATATTTGATAATACAAATCTAATAATTAAAAAAACACATTCAAAGTCATTATTTTTCTGGCAAAAGTAAAATAATATCTAAAAAGAGTGACTTTTAAAAAAGCTTTTAGGCCAGCCATGGCGGCGCATCTTGCTAGGATGCTATTCTGTGCAAACTGGGCCCATAGGAAAGGCCCAGATTCAATTCTCAGTCCAACTTGAAGGTTCTAGAAGGTGGCATGCACTTGTCATCCTGGGGACTTTAAGAGGCTGAGGCAGGAGGATCTTGAGCTCAAGACAGGCCTGGGCAGCACAACGAGACGCTGTTTGAAAGAGTTGGGTAGTGTAGTCACAGCTGGGAGGCTGAGGCAGGGGGAGAGTAACGTCATGAGCTCCTATTTTAAACTTAATCAAATTAAAAATTTTTTTTACAAAATTTTAACTTTGCTTGATTGGGAAAAAAAACACGTTTAAACATATATAGATATAGATAGATAAATAGGTAAATAGATAGTAATTAAAATAGTTATTAAAATGTCAGCTTTTTTTCTTCCCAGTGTTTGGTATGGGGATGTTTGGCATTAAAATGATATCAGCTTTTTTCTTGCCATAATGCTGACATAGTAACTTTTGTAGAATTAATAATAAAATACTTTTATTTAATTTTCAAACCTCAAGCCACACACAGAAGGACCAAGAGCCAAGCATAAACAATGAGCAGTCAATGGCAGGTGATAGGCATACTTAACTACCTTTCACTGTATGAGCTTGACATTGTGCAGTCAATCCAAAGAGAGTCCTCCAACCATAGCTATTTATTCGTCATACATTTTGTAGCTTATATCTTCAGTACATTTTGGACATCTGCAAATCCTAATGCCACTCAAGTAATATACAGTGACACACAATCGAAATTAACTATTGAGCAATATGATTTTCTTGAATTTTAGAAGACCAAAAATCATCGTAATTTTAAAATTCCTGCTTCCTCCCCAATAGTGAGTTTTAACTCACTACAGATAATATTACTACCATTATGAGTGCGTATCTTACTACATGTGATACAGACAAATATTTTTCCTATTCTTTCTCTTTTTTCTTTTTTCTTTTTAGAGAGGTTTTTGCTATAGGACATGCACACTTGCCAGAAAGACAGAGAGAGACAGAGAGAGAGAAAGCTAGAAATCACCCCACCCCCAGGGGGAATGGCTACGTCACAATCCCCTCTCCTCCATTCTCCTCTTAGGATCTTGGGCACACACGCACACGCACTCGGCATGAGTTTAAGCCACCGGGTCCAGGACTTGAACCACGGTCGACTACATGAGAGTCCAGCCACATAGCCATTACACTAACTGCTGGTTCCTTCTTTCTCTTTTTTAAAATTTTGATTTCAACCTCTTGTAAATTGTGGCCCACAACTTAATAAGAAAAAACTAAAATTATGATGATATGTACATGAAAAATATGAGGCTATGTTATAAATTCCTAACTTTTGTTAAGAATTGAAAAGAGCAACCACCACACTGGCTAAAATTAAAAAGACCAACAAAAACAAGACTGGAGAGGATGCGGT